TCTCACTCTGTCACCCTGGCTGGAGTACAGTGGCGTGAACACAGGTCACTGTAGCCTCAACCTCCTGGGATCAAGTGATCCTCCCACATCAGCCTCCAAGGTGGCAGAGAAAAAAGAAAGGACACTGGGTGTGAGGGAGGGATGCAGTCAGGACCAAGCGTCCAAGGGAACACAGGAGAGAATGAAAGCACAGAGGCTGGGAAGAGAGGGCAATGCTGTCATTGCTGAAGACCGGAGTCTGCAGGCTTAGCATGATCAACTGGGTTCCAGCTTCTGTGACCTGCCTGGAAGATGAAACAGCCTTCCCACCCTCATTGGTAAATATAAACCCAAACCCCATCTCACCTCTCAGCTCTGGTCTTCCCATCTCCCTCGCCACTGCCCACCTCACTCCATCTCTCCTTGCCAAGCCTAGACTAGCTTAGCTTTCACTGCTCTGCGGTCTCACAGTGCCCTGTGGCTATGGCTGTAGCTGCACTTACCGCTTGTTTTACAGTTGTCTCTTCACGTGGTCATATCCGTCTTGAGTCTCTGCACTCCCAGGGCAGAGGCTGAGTCTCATTCATCTGGCAGCCCCAACAGTGCCACTCCTAGCATGTCATTGCTTAGTGTTAAGCGACTTGTCCATTGTGACATGGACATCCTCAAGGTCACATAAACAGCTAAGGGGTGGGGAACTGTCTTGCAGCTTGGTGGGCAATGGGAGAATAATGGGTGGGAAGATGGTAGAGGATGATGGAAAGGCATTTTTAAAAAGAGTAAACACTGAGTAGCTGAATTTTGAATATTATTTTTTTCCCTTCTGCCTCAGCCTGTAGCTGGGACCCCAGGCACGTTCCACCATGCCTGGCTAATTTCTGTATTTTTCTGTGGAGATGGGGTTTCACCATGTTGCCCAGGCTGACATGAATATAATTTCTAATCAGTCAAGTTTTTCCTTCTATAGACATGGGCAAAGTGCAAATAAAAAGTTGAGGGAGATAATAGGAGGTAGAGCTATGCTCTCTGCACATGCCCGGATGTGGGGAGAAGTGGACTGGGGGCTGCCTGGCCATGCAAATTCTCTCCATGAGCCGTGCAGCTGTGCTCCAGACTCTGTCCCCACCCCTGGGAGGTCCTTGCAGCAATCACTGAAAATTTTGCTCAAACAGCCATTTCCCCACAATGCAATCTACTGGGTATTTAAATAGTCTGATTAATTGAGTTAACTTGTGAACACTGTGGCAACATATCCACAACATGAAACCTACCATGTTAACCCTTTTCGGGTACACAGTTCTGTGGCATTCAGTACATTCACAATGTACTTCACCGCCTTCCATCTCCAGAACTTTATCTTTTCCAACTGAAACTCTGTGCCCATGAAATTAATTTCTCACCCCATCTCCAGTCCATGGACACCTGGGTTGTTCCTATCTTTTGGCTATTGTGAATAATGCTGTTATAAACATGGATGTACAAAAAAGTTATCAATTTTAAGCAGAATTTAATAAATACAGATGATTCTTCCAATGAGAAAATATTTCAAAAGCCTGTCATCCAAAGGTGGCCTGCAAAACAATAGCACTGGCTTTACTTGGGCCTTTGCTGCAAATGCAGAATCTCAGGCTCTACCCTGGACCTCTGTTATAGAATCTGCTTTTTTATTTTTCAGGCAGAGTTTTGCTCTGTCACCCAGGTTGTTTTTTCATTTATAGAATTACTAGTTAGTGGAAGTAAAAGCAGTGTAGTGGCTCACTATGATCTCTGCCTCTCAGGTTCAAAAGATTCTACTGCCTCAGCTTTCTGAGTAGCTGAGACTATAGGCACCCACCACTATGCCTGGCTAAGTTTTGTGTATTTTTAGTAGAGACAGGGTTTTGCCATGTTGGCCAGGCTGGTCTTGAACTTCTGACCTCAAGTGATCCACCCACCCTGGCCTCTCACAGTGCTGGGATTACAGGTGTGAACTACCTACCATGCTCAGGCCCCAGGTGACTCATTTGCACCTTAAACTTTGAGGACTGCTTCAAAACACAGAATCCATGGAGAACAATAAATGAGTTATTTTTTATTTTTTTTGAGACAGGGTCTCACTCTGTCACCCAGGCTGCAGTGCAGTAGTACAATCTCGGCTCACTGCAACCTCCACCTCCTGGGCTCAAGTGACCCTCCCACCTCAGTCTCCCAAGTAACTGGGACTACAGGCATGTACCACCACATCCAACTAATTTTTGTATTTTTTTGTAGAGACGGGGTTTTGCCATGTTGGCCAGGCTGGTCTTGAACTCCTGGGCTCAGGTGATCTGCCCACCTTGGCCTCCCAAAGTGCTGGGATTACAGGCATGAGCCAACACATCTGGCCCAATAAATGAGTACTTTATAATGAAAATTGGGGAATCACTAGTTAGTGGGAGTAAAAGCAGTGATTCACCAAGGCTGTCAAAGAAGTAGGCTAGTTTTAAGCTGAGTACCACTGGTACAGAGCCCTTGCCCCGCAAAGGTTAGCGTGAAATAAAGCCTTCCCTGAACACTTTGTACAGGAGCAAGGGAGGAAACACATTCACAGTGACTTCACCACCACATGGCTCCGTATCTCGATAGAGGCTGAGGCTAGGGTACACCTCTCTCTCTCCTTCCTCTTGTCTGATGAGACCCAGCCTGGACTTGGAGACTTGAGTTCCTACTGGGGAATGAGCTTTTCAAAACAGCTCCTTGATTAAGGCATGTCTGTCTATAATCAGCCACTAAGAGAATGAAATTTCTCTGTTTTAATTTACGGCTCTTTTTGAAGAAGTTACTGTGGTCATTTATTTGAAGGAAATACAGCAAATTTCCCCCAGATTTGAATATGGGATAAAAAATCCGTAATTGTGTCGAAAGTCTTCCTCTAAACTCTTGCTTTGATAACCCACTAGTGTATTATCCCTTTTGGCACAAGAAAATGTCTAAAACGGATGAGAACGACAACGTATGAAATGTCTACTCTTAGCAGACGCCATTTATGTGTAGTTAGCTAATCCCATTCCCCCAAATTCTGAGACTGTTCTACAGGATACATGGCTACAAAATAACAGGAACCATGATCCAAATCCAGGCACATCTCACCCCACACCTAAACCTTTCCAGGCCAGTCTCCCAGCCTGCTTGAACTCAGGTGAGCTGTATTTGGGTTTTCTCTAGGTTGATCTGTCTCTGGCCCATGTCGCGTCTGTTCTAAGGCTCAAATTAGTCACTGATGTTGCTTACAGCTCAGCTTAACACAGGCTTTTCCATTTCCTGATTTCTCAGTTATCAAAACCTGACAAGAAAGTCCTTTTTTTGAGGTTATTTCCTGCTGAGTGAAACCTAGGAAATACTGAAAATCTTAGGGTGTAGGGATGGTTCCCAATCCTCTTTCCTGTTTGAGAAAAAAAAAAATCATTCTGGTGGGTCCTGTGACAGAGGGCTAGGAGGTGCCTCGCAACAATGAAGCAGCGGGCCTCTATACTGATGGCCTGATCTATTCAACTTAGCAGCCTGATGTGGAAGAGTGGGCTTCTAATTCACCATGGGAAGCCTGAGATCTGCTGCTCAACAGATCTGCTGGCCTACACATCACCCAGGGGCACTACCAAATGGCCTTACACAACGATGCCAAGTATTTGTGAGCAGAATGTGGACGAATGTGGTGCAACAGACAGAACCTTCCTGGTGAGGGCTAAGGCTTGCATGACAAGGAGGTAGGATGGAGCCATTTTGCAAAAATAATTCTGACCTGCCCAATGCTAAATGAACATTGAAGAAATATTTGTTGTCTCTGTCTCCAAGAACCTTTCAAATTGTACAACAGATAAGAACCAAAACCAATGAAAGTACAAGCACTGCCTATACAAATAGAAACGAGTCACAGAAAACTGGCTATTGACGTTGGGCTATGGATAGAGTCCCAACCTTTCTGCCTCCTAAGCCTGTTTGGGTCCCTGCTCAGGTCCTATTATAGAGGGCTTTGCAGTAGCTTCCTCCTGCCCTTATCAGTCAGCCTGCTCAGCCATGGTGACACTTCTTAAGGAGTGCCCCTAAACACTTCCAGTAGCCCCCAGGCCTAAAGAACCTGCAGAAAGCCCAGATGCCCCAGGCCTCTACCATGCCCTCCAGCCTTACTGCTCCTCATTCGTCTGAATGCTTAGCTTACCTCTGTTTTTTCAGTCTTCTTTACTACTGTTCACTCTCTTCCCTCTTCCTCAAATCTTTCAACTGGGTGCAGGAGTCATAACCTGAAGGATACTTTTTAGAAGCACACTCCGTCGGTTATATCAAAACATGGAGCATGGCCTAACAGGAACACAGCATCTGGAACCATAGGCACGGGGCGTGTTTCTGATTCGGCCACTTAGTGTTACCTTAGCTATTTTATTTAAGCTGTGTTTTGGGTTTATCTATGAAAAAGACAGTAGTCAGACTGCGTTTCCAGATCGCTGAGATGATGATGTTTATTAGAACACTTCCTGGCATGCAGTGGGCATGCAATCACCGCCAGCTGCTCATACACTTATTACCACGGCAATCGATGCTCTTCGTTGGTGTCTCATTTGCCGAGTCTAAGCTCTCTGAGTTTGGGACTGTCTCTGATGACCTGTGAAAGCTCAGGGCTAGTGGAGAGTCAGTGCTCACTATTGTGCCCGAGTGAACAGTGGAGAACCTTCTTGGAGGAAATTCATGTAAAAGCCCAGACAGCAGAGGGAAAAGTGCTCCAGGTAGTGATAATGCTCTCCTCCTGAGGACATGAGAAAGTTGCTTGGTGGGTAGATGACCTCACAGAGGGACAAGGACGAAAGCAAGGGTAGCAAAGCCAGGGGGACAAGAGCCACTTGAGATGGTCTCTCCAGGGCTGTGTGGAGAATCAGCACCTAGGACTCTGGACGAAACAGTGTCAGGTGGAAAAGATGCCTGGTGACAGGCAATTCAGGCAAAAAAGAGTCATTTTTTATTGCTTTAGCAGCTACTATCCCAAACCCTTTCCCCTCAACAAGAAAAGGCAATTTTATGATCACAAAGAGGCCACTTTTTTTTTAATTGACAACTCAATCTCTACATACATACAGTATTGCACAAATTGTAAGTGGGTCAACAATTATATTATTGATACAAACTCATGAGCATTTACATAAAACTACCGCTCTAGGTTTTGGTGTTTTATGCCAGCTACTTTAGTGAATAAAAGAAACATAAAGGAACTCAGCTACTTGAATTAGTAAGAATCAGCTTTCAAAAAAAAGCATCGATGTCATCTCATAGAATACTCAATATGTCAGACCCAGGAAAATCAGTAACTAAGTGACAAAAAGAACATGTTTAAAGAAAAGTTGGTGATAAAAATGTTAGGCTAAAATATTAAGAACTTTAGCAACTGGATGAGGAACCAGAAAGTATATGCACACTGGGAATTTTAAGAAAAGATCCACATGTTCTCCTGCACAATGAGGACCACATTCCAAAAGCACAATTCTGTGCTGCTACCATGTCTTCTCTGCTACAAACCACTGTTTCTAAGGTAAAGAAACAAGATGGTAATTCACATAAAAGGGTTTTAAAATTCTTCCCACTCAAAATAAAATAAAAATAATATGATCTCCATCAAATTATAAAGAAATTCTATCAAAATGTTGACCAGATAAAGAAGTCAGATCATTTGCCTTCACCCATTGCCTCAAAGGGCAGAGCATGTGTTATCTACAAGGAAGGGAAGATGGGGGTAGAGTCCCTGCTCTCCCCCGGCCTGTGGAATAGGGGTGGACGGGAGCCGTTTGGCTTTCCTGGGGTTTTGCTTCTTCACATAGGGAAATGAGGGAGGTGGGCTAGATGGCTTTAAGAGACCCCTCAACTAGAAGAATCAAAGGCAGCCTGAGATCCCACCTCTGAGCAGACAAATAGGGTGGCAAAAGAAATGGTTTAAAAAACAGGTGGATGACATCTTTCTCACCTTATGATGCCACATTCAGAACGAATCTGTACTATAGTTGAAGAAAATCTTTGCCCGGTACTATTAAAGGGTACACAATGAGGCATCTGACAATAAAATTTTTGATGAAAATGTATAAAGAGGCTATGTTAAGTTTGCATGGAAGAAACAATGCACCACCACATTATTACCAGTAGTCAGGATGTCCTGTCTCTGATTTTAGGAGTCACCGATCTGATTGGGAGAAATGCTGAGGGAGATGCATGTTCAAGCCATTCAATAGAGGTCTAAGCACACGGTTCAGGAAATGGAGAAACAGGTGCACAGGAAGTCAATTAATAAAACTGGTTCTAAAACAAATGATGCAAGAGATCTAAATAATCCAAAGACAGTGATGGCTTCTCATTTTCTGTCCCCTACAGAGAATATAAATATTATTTCTTCTGGATCTAACATATTGGCTTCATTTTCAAAATGCATCACTTTATTTTTCTTACAAGGCAGCCACACATTAAGCATGTGACAGTCACATGATTTATGCAGTGAGCCGCAAGGCTTCCACCAGCTTTCCTGGAACCTACAGCCAGAAGAGTCCTGAGATTTCAAATATTAAAGCTTTCTCCACAGCCACAAGTTCCTTTGATGTTTGGGTTATTGAACACAAACTCACTGGATAATTTGTCTTCAACATAGTCCATTTCTGTTCCTAAAAGTGTTAGCTGTGCTTTCTTTTCGATGAATACTCTGACTCCTTGGGGAAAAGAAAATATGTGTCATATAAAGCCTGCAGCCTTATGGAACCTGCTGATTCAAAGCACAAATGAACTTTAAACAGGGACTATCAACAAAAGTCAAACAGGAAGCTTTTGAAAATTTTAAATTATTTCCTTAAGGAATTAAGCATTCAGTTTCCCATCTGCCCTTCTTTCCGACATACGAATCTATGTCTAAAACAATCATGTAAGGGGAGAATTTTATACAAGTAAATTCCATGACAATTTTATGTAAAATTAGAATTTACCTTTCACTATACGTCACTCATTTTTCCAGTTTGCAACGTGAAGAAAATGTATATTCTCAGTGAGTTTTGTTATGATGAAATTTTAAAAAATTATAAAAGTTCTGCAATAACATCACTAGATACATGGATTTAAGCTTAAAGATATATAAAGGACTGTGATACAATGGGGCTATTTTAATAAGATTAATCAGTACAACAATAGTCTTTTCTGGTTATGAACAGAAAACAGGTACTATCCCTAATAATTACACAGGTAGAAAGGTCAGCATCTTTAGAAATACAATCTTTTTTTTGACAGAGTCTCGCTCTGTCACCCAGGCTGGAGTACAGTGGCACAATCATGGCTCACCACAACCTCCACCTCCAGGCTCAAGTGATCCTCCTACAGGATTACAGGCACACGCCACCAGGACCAACTAATTTTCTATTTTTTTTTTAGAGACGGGGTTTCACCATGTTGCCTAAACTGGCTTGCATTCCCGGGCTGAAGTGATCCTCCCACCTTGGCCTCCCAAAAGTGCTGGGATTACAGGTGTAAGCCACAGTGCCCAGCCAAAAAATACAATCAGTTTAAGAAAGGTTTCTATTCTGGTAAACATGGCAAAACCCTGACTCCACTAAAAATACAAAAATTAGCTGGGCATGGTGGTGAGCGCCTGTAGTCCCAGCTATTCAGGAGGCTGAGGTGGGAGGATTGCTTGAGCCCAGGAAGTGGAGGCTGCAGTGAGCTGAGACTGTATCACTCCACTCCAGCCTGGGTAAGAGAGTGAGACTCTACCTCAAAAGAAAGAAAGAAGGAAGGAAGGAAGGAAGAGAGGAAGGGAGGGAGGGAGGGAGGGAAGAAAACACTTTCTTCCTTATAAGATATTGAGCCATTCACTAAATATAAACTATATATAATTAAGTCACCTCTTCCTTAAAATGAAAATCTCAAGGTTTATCATGTGTTATAATTTTTAAAACAATATATTTTTAAAAGGTCTTTATTCATTAGTAACTTTAGTTTAATAAAAAAGCACATTTAGGAATCTAGGCCTCATTCTCCCATGCAGGCAAGAACTGCAAGCTAGCCAAGTGCATACTTCCAATGGCAAGATAAATAAGTGACTTATTTTATTTTAGGTAGGTTTTAACAGATTATAGAGTGGAAGACGGGGGCAGTGGCAAATATAATTAAAGAATTGAAGTTTTTAATAAAAATGAGAAATACAGGATTCCTCAAAAACATGAGTTGATAATGCAGCTCCATTAAAAATACAAAATTAGCCAGGCATGGTGATGTGGGCCTGCAGTTCCAGCTACTTGGGATGCTGAGGTGGGAAATCACTTGAACCCAGGAGGTGGAGGTTGCAGTAAATTGAGACTGCACCAGTACACTCCAGCCTGGGGGAGAGCAAGACTCTGTGTCAAATTAAAAAAAAAAAAAACAAACAGGATTACAATGGAGCTGAGAATTCCTATTGCTAGCAATGTTGTAGCCACCATAATATCACAAGACAACCCATTACTCAGGTGTTTGTGGTGATGCTGGTGTAAACAAACCTGTACTTCTAGTCATATAAAAGTCTAAGCATGTACAATTATGTACACTACATAATACTTGATAATGATAATAGTTATGTTACTGCTTTATGAATTTACTATACTAAACTTTCTATTGTTATTTTAGAGTATACTTCTACTTATAAAAAAAAGTTAACTGTGAAATAGCCTAAGGCAGGTTCTTCAGGGGGTATCCAGAAGAAGGCAGTGTCATCACAGATGACAACTCCATGAGTGTTACTGCCCCTGAAGACCTTCCAATGGGACAAGAGTAAGTTGTGGAAGACAGGGATACTGATGATCCTGACCCTGTGGAGGCCTAAGCTAATACATGTGTAGATGTGTTTGTGTCTTAGTTTTTAATTAAAACATTTATAAGGTTAAAAAAATAGAGAAAAGCTTATAATAAGGACATAAAAAATTTTTTTACATTTGTACAATGTATATTTTAAGCTAATATTACTACAAAAGAGTCAAAAAGTTAACAACCCCAAAGTTTACAAGGTAAAAAAGTTTCAGTAAACTAAGGTGAATTTATTAGTTTATAAAGTGTAGAATACTGAAAAGTAATGTCCTAGTGGCTTTCTCATTCACTCACCACTGCCTGCTCACCCACTGACACGTGGACAACTTGCAGTCCTGCAAGTTCTATGCATGTTAAGTGCCCCATACAGGCATACTATGTTTTATTTTCTTCTCCTTCCTTTTTTTTTTTTTTTTTAAAGAGATGGCAGTCTCACTTTGTCACCCAGGCTGGAGTGCTGGAATGCAATCGCATGGCCTCGGTTCACTGCAACCTCTGGCTCCTGGGTTCAAGCAATTCTCCTCCATTAGCCTCCCCAGTCGCTGGGACTACAGGTGTGTGCCACCGCACCTGATTAATTTTTTTTGTATTTTTAGTAGAGACGGGGTTTCACCATGTTGGCCAGGCTGGTCTTGAACTCCTGATCTCGTGATCTGCCCACCTTGGCTTCCCAAAGTGCTGGGATTACCTGCATGAGCCACAGCACCTGGCCAGTACACTACAATCTTGAACTCCTGTGCTCCAGGAATCCTCCTGCCTCAGTCTCCTGAGTAACTGGGACAACAGGCTTGTGCCAACACACCCAACCCCATTTCATCTTTTACAGTGAAATTTCACTATACCTTTTCTATGTTTAGATATGTTTACACAAATACTTACCATTGTGTTAGAACTGTGCACAATACTCAGCACAGTCACAAGCAGTACAGGTTTGTAGCCTAGCAGCAACAGGTTGTATCATCTAGCCAAGGCATACGGCAGGCTCTACCATCTAGGTTTGTGTAAGTACACCCCAGGACATTTGTCTAATGTCACATTTCTCAGAACGTATCTCCAATGTTAAGTGATGCATAAATGTATCTGCATTATACTAACTGGTTGAGCACCCCAAATCCAAAAAGCTCCAATGAGCATTTCCTCTGAGTGTCATGTTTGCACTTACTTGTAAAGTTTTGAATTTGGGAGCATTTCAGATTTTAGATTTTTGGATTGGAATGCTCAACTTGTACTTATTTGACACAGATGTAAAACTGCTGCTTACACAAAAACTGTTGGTTCACTGTGAGCCTTAAGGTTGGTTCAGTTTTTGGACACAACAATGGTTTTTCATAGATAAAACAAACAAGCTTATATAATAATTTATCAATTAATTACTAAGAGCACAGTCACTGGAAAGAATTACTATGACCTTCAACTACTTAACCCCTCTGTGCCTCAGTTTCTTCATTAGAAAAACAGGAATAATATGGTATCACCTTCATTCATCGTTGTGTATAAATCAGTTAACACATGAAATTCCATCAAACAATGCCTACGCACACAGTGAGCACTATTTACACAGTTCCTGATACTATCCTTACTTTTTACTTTGTGCTGTGCAAGGCTAACAATTTTAGGCAAAAGAAAGTGCCCAAAAATGTTTGTTAAAAACTCACCATCTTGAATAACTTCTTCATCAGAATCTCCTTTTGTCTTTGTATATTCTAGAGTATAAGAAAGGCCATTACAGCCCCTGGTTCGGACACCAACTTTTACACCTACCTGAAAAAGAAGTGAAAATATAAATTTAGTTTTAAAGTAGTACAGATTAAACAATTACACTAATAAAGTGACAGTAGTCTCCCTGTACCAAATGGACTTTCTTTTACTTTTTCGTAGAGATAGGGTCTCACTACATGGCCCAGGCTGGTCTCAAACTCCTGGACTCAATTCTTCCACCCTGGCTTCTCAGAGCATTGGGATTACAAGGTAGGAGCCATCTCATCCAGCCTGGCACTTTATATCCTCTGGATGTTTCTTTATGGTTAGGGTTCAGCAGGGTTCACAGTCCATCACCTGACAATCCTATCTCTACATGGATCTTTATTCTAATGCAGACTTGTGTACAGTCTCAAATACCAGAAAGCCAACGAAAGTGACCAAACAGCACTTAAAAAAATCAATGTTTACATTAATCCAATATTCTAACAATATCTACCTAAGTTTTCTCTCTTGGAGTTGATCTGCTTTTTCATTTAAATACAGTCATCCTTCAGGATGCGTGGGAAACTGGTTCCAGGACTACCCAAGCATACAAAAATCTGCGGACACTCAAGTCCCTTATGCAAATGGCACAGTGTTTGTATGTAACCTATACAAATCTTCCCGTGTACTTTAAATGACTTCTGGATGACTTGAATACCTATAACAATGTAATGCTATATAAATAGTTGTTATACTGTACTGTTTAGAGAATTAGAAGTCTGTACATGTTGAATACAGATGCAACCTTCTATTTTTTTCCCAAATATTTTTGATCTGTGGTTGACTGCATCCATGTATGCAGAACCCACAGATATGGAGAGGTGACTGAACACAGTAAAAGTATTATAAGTACTGTTTTACCAGCAGTTCCTGATTCTACAAAGCTAATCTGTTTTTTCATTTGGCCACTTTGGACTCTAGTCATTAGTCTAAACAAATTGAGTCAGAACACTGATATCCTTTGAAATTTAATAATTTTAAAAGGGAGGTTTGAGAACTCCCATTACATTGTAATGTAGGTTGACAAGAGAAACCAGAAACCATTCCAGTCTAATCATTAAATATTGACAGTCTATTACTTGAAATGATTTACAGAATTCCATCAGCAACGAACAATGTACAATTTAAATGATACGCACACCCCTAACTCAACAGTTCTACATCTAGGAATGGATCCTATGTAGGTAGACTAAGCCACACTTATAGGTTTATAACAATGAGCCTGGTACACGGTAGCCTCTAAATAGTTGCTGAATGGTGTCTGTGGCAGCAATGAATGAAAACGACCCTTTAATATAGGGACTGTTTAGAGAAATCAAACTTGTTCAATGGAATATACTGTAAATGCAGCTAAGAAAGGGAGGCAGATTATTTCATAATAATATGGAAAGATCTTTAAGCTACATTATTAAGGGTAAAAAGCAAAGTGTAACTACAACATTTATGGTAGGAAGAGATACACATAGGAATAACAAGCCCAGTCTAGGCCATGGGTTCCCCTCAGGGAGACATTTTTGTGACAACCAAAGCTTTGTAGAATCAGGAACTACTGGTGAAATACCTTCACTCTATACAGTCACCTCTCTGTATCTGTGGGTTCCACATATGTGGATTCTTTGGTTGTGACAAAGAAATGGTGCTACTGGTATCCAGACAGAGGCCAGAGATGCTGTCAAACATTCTACAATCTGCCCTAAATTGTCAACCGTGAGGAGACTCAGAAAATCAGGTCTAGCCACTTCAAATGTATACATTATCCCTGGAAGGAGACCAAAGAGGTTGCTTCTTGGAAGAAAAAATGACAGGTTGAAAGAATGACTTCCCTTTTAGTTAAATACCCTTTTGTATTATTTGAATTTTTTAGAAATCTTGAGTATATTTTACCTTTTAAGTAAAAACCCCTAAATGAAAACATACTGTTTATCACAGGATAAATTCATTCTGAAAATACAGTTTCAGATTTTTACTGAATAATTAACTGGTTTTACTTACATGCTCAGGTTTATCTTTGAGAAGCTGCTTTATCTTGTTTACTGCTGCAGGTGTCTGAAAAAAGAAAATGATGTTTTTAGCTACAAAGCTTGCATTCTTTAAAGCTTCATATTTATCTTTTTAAGTCTGTCTTTAGCAAATTCATGTAACAAATTTATGTTCCATTCTTGCCAGGGTACCTTGTGGATTTATAAAGAAACACATGAACTATTTTATTCAAAATACCCTCTTTATTTTAAAAAATACCTGCCAGCAACATCATTTTAATCTTGATCTTCAGTCCAGGATAGTTCCCTGTCTTTCTCTCTACGGTGCTATTTACTCACATCACAAATGCTATTTTTCTGGGCAGCATCTATTTTGTGCATCAACTCTACACCCAGCAACCAGCACGTTGCCTACGACAAACAGCCAATGAAGGAATCAAGTATCTCACCGGGAAGGCCAACCTTCAGGTGTTCTTCCTGTCAATTATTCATCCTACTGCATTTTTTTTTTTTTTTTTTTTTTTGCCTACTCACATCCATTCCTAATCCATCAAAATGCGTAGCTTGAGGAAAGAGCGTTATCTGCATAAAATAACCCAGGGTGTGCTTCTTGTACCAGTCCTGCCAAATGCTCACACAGATTTTTTCAATGTGGATTAAACAAACATCTTAGGAGATCTAGACGAACAAAACACTAAGCTAGTCAATGACAGAAATAAGAATGAGAAGGACCTGCTTCCCAGGAGAAATGCTGTTTAACATAGCCCAGTGGGCCTCAAAATGAGAAAGACATCACAGTTTGTATGTAAATAGGTCAGAGTTACCAATCCCACTTCCTTGGAAAGGAGACTGTTTCAGGGTATTCCTGGCCCACTTCCTAGCTGTGTCCCCAGGGCAGTTACCCTACATGGCTTCTCTGACTTCTAGTCCTTTACTTGTGAAATAGGGATAATAGTCCCTTATCAAGATTCTTGCGAGGATTAAGTATTTAAACTCATGAAAAGCATTCAGGACAGTGCCAGGCACAAAAAAAACAAGTATTATTATGATGATGAGAGTACATGATAATGAAGAGATTACTTGCGTCCTTCCTACCTTATCTTAAGCTCCTCTATTTGGCAGTGCTCTGCTGGCCCTCCAGTTCTTTGTACTGACATTTTACTGGCTTGTGAAGCCTCAAAGTCTGGATATTGCAACCTCAGGCCTGATAGTAAACTGAGGCCAGGACTGACGCCTGTCCAGGGGGAGCCAGCCCAATGGACAGCCCTAGTGTGCTCTCCTGCCCTGTCGGGGTTAGGGCTCAGCCAGATGATTATGTTTAAACACAGTCTACACCCAATTTAGAAGGGCATAAAACCAATTTATAATGTGAAGACCAACATGTTTTAAATTTAAAATAGAAAACAATGCACTGCACTTAAAAAAAAAAGTGTCTGTGTAAATACATTTCTTATTGCAAGTCACTGTAAAAAAAAAAAAACAAACCACTGACAGTAGGTGGTCTCTAAAGGCCTTTTCCCACGGTTCTATCACAAAAGGAGGCAACCAGTCCTACAATGCAGAGAGTAGTATACAGAGGAGGAAGGACAAAACGTGGAAGAGCAGGATTATGGTTTTGTTTTTGTTTTTGTTTTCTGAGTCACAGAATATCAACTTTAAATAGTTACAAAAATATTTATTATTATTTTTTAAAGTGCTCATAACCCGTCTTAATCAGTGGTCCCCAATGTTTTTGGCATCAAGGACTGGTTTTGTGGAAAACAATTTTTCCATGGAAGGGGGATGGTTTCGGGATGATTCAAGTGCATTACATTTATTGTGCAATTGATGTCTATTATTACATTGTAATATATAATAATTACATAACTCATCAAAATGCACAATCAGTGGGAGCCCTGAGCTTGTTTTCCTGCAACTGGATGGTCCTATCTGGGGGTGATGGGAGACAGTAACAGATCATCAGGCATTATTCTCATAAGCAGTGTGCAAACTAGACCCCTCGCACGTGCAATTCATACTAGGGTTTCGCTGACCTGACAGGAGGTGGAGCTAGCTTAGGTGTCAATGCTCCGCTTGTCTGCTGCTCTCACCTCCTGCTGTGAGGCCCTGTTCCTAACAGGCCAAGGACTGGTATCAGTCTGTGGCGCAGGGATTGGGGACCCCTGCTAAATGATTGTCAATAAAAGCTAGCTTTCTTATCAACTACTTGTAAATTTTCACAGTCATATTTTCCTATGTGCATGCTGAAAAAATTAATCACTTACTGTCAAATAAAAGTAGCTTTCTATAAGTTTATTTTACAAAGGCACAGCCTGGACAGGCACGGTGGCTCATGCCTGCATTCCCAACACTTTGGCAGGCCAAGGTGGGCGGATCACTCGAAGTTAGGAGTTTGAAACCAGCTTGACCAACAAGGTGAAACTCCATCTCTATTAAAAATACAAAACTTAGCCAAGAATGGTGGTATGCGCCTGTAATCCCAGCTACTCAGTAGGTTGAGGTACAAGAATCACTTGAACCCAGAAGGCGGAGATTGCAGTGAGCCGAGATCATGCCACTGGACTCCAGCCTGGGCAACAGAGTGAGACTCTGTCTCAAAAAAAAAAAAAACCAAAATGGCATAGCCAAATACCTGCTGGAACTAAAATCTGAAATGTAGTCTTGGTTTAATGTGAGTCAAAGGCACAGATGAGCACACCACTGAATGATCTAAACCAAACAATTGTGTCTCTCACACTATTCCATTTACCAGCCTCAAGAAATTTTTAATTCTCCAAGTGGTTTTCTAAATTACCTGATTTAGTTTTGCAAAATCATCTATTTTCTTATTTTCTCAACTGTTAGCAGGAAACAGTAAATAAAAGCAATTTGTGGGGACTGGTCTACTTATCACAAAGTTGCTGATGTTCACATCTTATACTGAAATGCTCTTTAAGGGAAAAGTAACATTCAACAGGAACCTGTGTGCCTGGGAAACTGTTGATATGGGAACTAAACGTGTCTTAATTTTCCCATGTCAGGCGAAAACCAAACCTACTCCATTGGGAGGGTGTTACTGATGATGGATAACCCAGGTGTGTACTCAACCAAGGAAAAAGGTTCTCAAGACTTTCAAAGTGACTGATCTGACTTTCAGAACAAGTGAGAATGGTTAAACAGGGAACAGTTGGTACTTTTAAAAAAAAATCCAGCTGCCAAAAATACTTTTTGTGTCTCAGTACCAAGAAGAGGCTAGGAATCCTACTCTGCTTTAAGTCTACATACTCTGGCAACTTTGTGCTTAGGTGAATCCATCTGAGAAAGCGTGTAGAATCTTCAACTACACAGCATGCTGCAGGGCCTAGCAGCCTGCCAGCACAAGTGCACTTCCTAGAACAACTAAGAAACCTGTAATTGTCAAGAAATTTATCTACTATTCATGACTATAGCTTACCTGAGATTTGGCCCATGTTTTAAAATTTAAGAGCTTCCTGAAGCCCACTAAAATATGATAGTTTTTACTTTACTCACATGCAAATCACAGAAATATGACTTTTAAAGTGAGAGGTTACCTTTGAGTTAAGAAGATATTTTGGCTGAATTAAAAAATATATATATTTCCAAGATGTTTCTGCTGTTAAAATTATGGGAAAAGGCACTGTAGATGAATGTTTTATCACTATCTCATAGCAACACACTTTCTAATCCTTGTAGGAGAAACTTTTCATTCTCAATCCTGTATTTCCTTACGTAATTCCCCAGGCAATTTTCATCTTTTGCTGCTTAAGAAAATAAAATTAAAACCCAAAGTTAACTATGTGACAATACATACTAAACATGTGCCAAAAACTACAACTTAATTTCATTACAAACGTGGCATTTTAATGTTTAAAAGGCAGCAAATGTTCAACATATCAATTTTCCGGGGGCACAAAAGATGGTAAATAATACAGCCAATAATCAAGCTATAGTGTATTTGAGCCAAGCATGGTGGCGTGTGCCTGTAATCTCAGCAACTCGGGAGGCAGAAGCAGAGAATTGCTTGAACCCAAGAGATGGAGGTTGCAGTGAGCCGAGATCACACCATTGCACTCCAGCCTGGGCGACAGAGCAACACTCTGTGTCCAAAAAAAAAGAAATTCTGAAAGAAGAGGTAACATGTCAAATGGGTGATGTAGAAAGACATCAGGGCCAGGCGTGGTGGCTTACACCTGTAATCCCAGCACACCGGGAGCCTGAGACGGGTGGACTGCTTGAGCCCAGGAATTCAAGACCAGCTTGGGCAACCCAGGGAGACCCTAGGTGCATGCATGATGCACACCGGTGGTCCCAGCAACTTCGGAGGCTGAGGGGGGGATGATGGCTTGGGCCCAGGAGGTTGAGGCTGCAGTGTGCCATGATTACACCACTGAACTACGGCCTGAGAGATAGAGCGAGACCCTGTCTCGGGGAAAAAAAAAAATCAAGACATCAATTAACAGGGTTGCTAAAGAGCAAAAAAGAAAAGGCAAAAAGCTGTTCCTGAAACGTCTGGCTCTTCCTGGACCTACCATTACCAGTGGAAGAACTCTCTGAATTCTAAAGAGACACAAAGAATGAATTGTACCCTCTAGTTCTTAAAACCTTGTTTAATTCCATGGTGTATGAAATACACATTCCATGATGTATGAAAATAAGCCTACAAGAGGTAATATAGAATGATAATCAGTACACGAGTAGTACCATATATAATCAGGATAACATCAAAGGCCTAAAAAATTGATTATAAAAATACATTCTCTTATTTGATTACAATTTTCTTCTATTTTGCTATAAACTTATTTTCTGGTAATAGGCCCTTTCGGCATTAGATGCAACAGAATCCATTAATCAATTTAAAACTTTTTTTTTTCAATCTCTAAGCGAATGCTTGTATAAAATCGTCTTCTTAACTAAGAGGGGAGTATATGTAGGAATGTGATCATAAGTTTTTCTATTGGGGTGAAAATATTTTGGAACTAGATAGAGGTGATGGTTGCACGACACAATGTCCTAAATGGCACTGTTACCCATTTTTCCTCCACTAAAAAAACTGCACGGTGCGGCTGGAACACTGAGCTAGCTCAGTGAATTCTCTAAATTATCAGTGGTTGTACTCTGGTGTCCTCTGAGTGTTTGCCCTTTCACCCAGAAAACTCTGTAAACTCACTCCCGAAAATTATGTTTTATCCTAAGAGCCCAGGCTTGAGGCACAGAGGGAGTGTCAAAGGCCTCAATCACTTAGTACACCGGGAACTAACGCTTTGTGCGCCGCGACCGGGACCTCTGCAGGAGCCGGGGGCTTTGTTGCCCCTGTCTCTGTGCTCGCTCGCCGCGGCCGCAGCCAACCTAACACAGCGGTCCTTCGAAAGCCTTGTCCCTCCCCACCGCACGCACCTCCAAGCTAGGACTTCGGGCCACCACCCGGCACCCCGACAACCGGGTACGTCCAGCCTCTGTGCAACCGGAGAAGCGGAACAGGGCAGGCCGGCAGGAGCGCGGAGACGCTCGGCCCCAGAGGACGCCCACCCCAGAGCTCTCCTCCGGACCGCACGGTAGGGCCGCGCGGCCTGCCGGGAAACGTAGTTGCCAGGAGCTAAGGAGCTTGTTTATCGCAGCAACGGGGGCCAGAGGGAAAGGAGGAGGCACGGCGGCTCGGAGTGGCCCAGAACTCGGACGCGCCCGTGCCCCTGCGGCCCCACTTCTGGCCGCCCTGACCTCCCCTCGCATGGGGCGGACACGGGCAATGTCACGGGCCCCGCCGCACGCCGCGAACACTCACCAGGGTGAGAGCGGCCCGGGTGGGCTGCAGCTTCCTCTTGCTCACAGCCCGGACAGTTGCCCGGACTAAGGAAGCCGACATCTTTGCCGTCTCGGCGCCCTGGTGCCTTGGGCCGAAGCTCGGCAGCCCCAGCCTCTCTCCATGGACAAGGCGGGCGCATTGACGCCACAAGCTTCGGCGCACGGCGCCCTCAGGCTTATCCCCGCCCTCCACCGCCACCATTGGGTAGGCTGCGTGAGTGACGGGCCGGGGGCGGTACGGGCCGCTCGGGGCGGGGTTTCGTCTCAGTGCCCCGGACCTACCAGAGGGTTTGCGCGTGCGCATGGTCGCCGGCCGTGGGCGACCACGGGCCCGTGGCATTACTACGCTGCGGGGCGCAGGGCCGGGGAGGAATGTCGTCACTGCCGAAAACAGTCGGTGCGACGTCGGGGAGCAGGCGGGAGGGGGCGAGGAATGACCCCCGACCTGCTGACTCCGGATGCGCGTCGCTTCACCATCTGCCCCCTGGGCAAGGTGCTGCGTCACCCCCTGCTTTAATGCTCACCGTGACAAACACCATAGGCAGTGAGGCTTAAGGACGCAGAAGTCAACCCTGCACGGGGAGCTTCTGCTCTCAGATGCAGAATGACTGTTCCGATGCCCAGACATCTACATCCATTTTCATTGTTTTTGGTCCAGCTAGGCAGTTCTTAAGAGCATGGTGTTACCGCTGAGTTGTATAATAAATCTCCACCCATAACCCTTCTCCCTAGCGTGCTGTACTGCTGGGGATGCTGAAGGGTGGTGACTAATGCAGTTTTAAGTCTGCTGCTGAACTGGGAACCCAGCCCTACTCGAAGATGTGACTGGGCAGCACTGTGAATAGTCACATTTATATCGATCAGCAATTACTCGATTTAATACGTGTCATCAGACCTTTCCTTGGCTGCTCAGGGGCTTAATTCTGCCTTTAGACGCAGTGTTCTTGAGCACCAGGCACTGTGCACAGGTGCAGTACCCGGGCATACACAGGAAGCCAGGTAAAAAGGGGCCAGGGAAGAATGAGATGCTGGCAGGACAGAAGTCCAACAGGGTTGGCAGATGAAAAGAGGACATCAAAACAGATGGCATTTGTCATCGAAGTGCTAGAGGTGAAGGGAAAAGGGCAGGAGGGGTCTATGGAGTAGTCCTGGGGAGGACAGATTCGCAGTGTTTGGATGTGGAAAGAAATAGTTGGTGAAACATTTTTTAAAGCCCAATTTATCTTTGATCTCTTGCAGGTTCCAAAAGGATAGTTTAAAATTCCAAGTAGTTCTTCCTGCTTCAGAAATGCAATCGAATTGACAGTAAGAGGGTGCTTTTTTTCCTAAGCCTATCTGCACATAAACCGGGCAAGTGGCTGATGCCTGTAATCCCAGCACTTTGGGAGGCTGAGGCGAGTGGAACACCTGAGGTCAGGAGTTCAAGACCAGGCTGGCCAACATGGTGAGACCCCATCTCTGCTAAAAATACAAAAATTAGCCGGGTGTGGCAGAGCACACCTGTAATCCCAGCTATTCGGGAGGCTGAGGCGGAAGAATCGCTTGAACCTGGGAGGCAGAGGTTGCAGTGAGCCGATATCGCACCACTGCACTCCAGACTGGGCAACAAAGTGAGACTCTGTCTCAAAAGAAAGGAAGGAAGGGAAGAAAGGAAAGGAAGGAAATAAAATAAAAATAAATTTAATAAAAGATGTTGTGTCATTTTTTCGATTATTGATACATTACGCAGCTGTGCAGCACTTTAAGATTCAAAAACCCCATGAGCATATTATATTATCTCAGACTAGCCTCACAACTTTGAACTGAGTAGGGCAAAAGCACTGGCATGGTTGTTTTACAGATGCTGAAACTCAAGGATTTTAGTAGAGAACATTAGATACCATTGAAAAAATCTAGTCCCAAATTCTGATTCAGGATCCTGTGTATGTTTAACAGACTTCCTTCCTCCATTTAATACCCACTATTTAACAAAAACAAAAAAGAAAAAGAGAAAAACCCCACTATTCAGTTTTTAACTTGGTTAGTTGTTTGGCAAGTAAGCATTAATTCACATAATCTACTTTTTAGTTTCTAATAACTTGAAACTGGCACAAGTCCCCAAAAAAAGTCGGTATGTTAGAATAAATAATTTTCATGATTATTTAAGCAACATGTGAGCTTATCTCAGAGCAGCAGCTGTTCTATGGTGTCAAAATGAGGTGGGTGTGGAGTTACAAGCTGTAACACTTTTAGATTTCCACTAATATGTGACAGAACTTACAATAAGGAAGTTTCATCCTACAGTTCAGGCATTATGTTTCACAGTTCTAGACATTTAAGTGTTTTTCTGGTAAGACCTCACTTGATCATCACAACTCTGTTGAAAGCCAAGAATGGTTTCCATTTTATAGGAATGCAAACTGAACTGCCTGAGATTAGGGGACTGCCACACAGCTGGAGAAAGAGCTGGGCTAGACCTTGCCTAAATCTTGAGTTCCATTCAGTGGAAAGTCTGTGAAGTTCTTGACTGTTGCTGTCCAAATATGCCTACTTCCAAAGAAAAACCTACTGAAGGCTTTACAGTTTTACAGGGGTTAAATTCTGCTTTCAGTGTGTTGTGTTTGTATATTTTGGCCTGTAACACTGAACTACTGATGTATCTATCCAGGATCTTTTCCACTCAGAAAATTTTTTTTAATTAAAGCCATTTGACAAACATTTCAAGATGAAAAATACACTGAAGTTATTAAGAACATTTTTCTCACGTCTAGAAGAAGAAAACATTTAAAAAACATTTTTGCACACTGCTGATCCTGCACACATTGAGCAAGAGGTTTTTTGTTTGTTTGTTTTTGAGATGGAGCCTCACCCTGTCTCTGACGCTGGAGTGCAGTGGGCAATGGTACAATCTTGGCTCACTGTAACCTCCAGCTCCCAGGTTCAAGTGATTCTCTTGCCTCAGCCTCCCGAGTAGCTGAGATTACAGGCACCCACTACCAAGTCTAGCTAAGTTTTGTATTTTTAGTAGAGACGGGGTTTGGGCATGTTAGCCAGGCTGGTCTCGAACTCTTGACCTCAAGTGATTCGCCCACCTCAGCCTCACAAAGTGCTGCGATTACAGGTGTGAGCCACTGTGGCCAGCCAAGCAAGAGTTTTAAACACTGTAGACAGGGGCCACTGGACCCCTGCTATACAAAATATATTTCATATTTTTGTTTGTTCCTGAGAGAAGGTGTCAAGGAGAATCTTGGTAATGGGGTATTTGTGGGGCTTAAGACAGATAAGCCAGCTGCACTTGCAAGACAGCTAGGCCAATGTACTTAGCACAAGAGCAGATGTGTCAGTATCCCAGCTGGGGCAGCAAGATGGAGCTGTGACCACTTCCAAGGAAAGAATCAAGGGCAATCCATTTTCCAGCCTGCTGGCAAATTGCTCATTGTCCCATGGATCCAGTGCAAGAAACTGAAAATCAAACAAAAAACCCAGTATTTTGGGCAGAAGCTGCTATAGGGATCACAATAAAATGTAGGAAATTTTTAACATCCTTAAAGGGATACAAGAAAACGTAGTTTCTATGAAAAGGAAGATAATATAAGTAAACTAAAGACATGAGAGGTAAAGGAAGGTCAGTCAGGTAAGTTCTAGAAAATTAGAAGTGCAATGAGAAAATCCATATTGGAAACAGGAAGCAGCAGAATGACACTAAAAATTAAGCCAGTCATGTAGAGATTAAGCTTGAAAGTTTCCTAGCATGAAAAGTCACCGGATAGACTATTTCCAGATTGAGGTACTTTTCTTTCTGAATTATAGGGATAAACTGAAAAACACAAACACCCAGGCAGAAAAACAAAATCTATAAGAGAACAAAAATTAGCCTGGTCTTCTTAGACCTGTCTTCCACTATAATGCCAGAAAACAACAGAACAGCATCAGTGGGCTTTTCAAAGAAAAGTGTGACAAGCATTGTAAGCCTAGTCGACTTTCATGCATGAGTTAAAGAGAAGAAACCAGAAGAGGGGCAGCTGAGGACAGTCATGTAGAGCAGCCCTCAGCCCAGGTCGAGTCATTCATTAGTTTGCGTTCAAAATGAGGAAGGAACCATCACTATTTTTTCTACTATGGCTTCCAAATTCTGAAGTCCTTAATTTTGATATGACTCTTCTTTAGCTAGACTATCTTCAAATAATTTTTTTTTAAAAAGAAGAGCACATGTATATGCATCTTCTGAGTCCTCGAACATCCGGAATGCTTGCCCAGCAAGCACCCCTGCACCTCCCTGCCTACGAATTCCTCCACCTCAATCTGTGCCTTTTATAATAACAAATTTGTATGTTCCCAGAGCTTGGAACACACTGGATGTTAACACACACCAATGATTTGCACAAGTCAAAGGGAAATCTGTATACACTACTTTAGAGGAGTATATCTGTACTAGCCTTTCTTCTTTTTTGGTAAACTACTCTAATCATTCCCAGTGTCCTCACTCCTTGATCTATTTTTTCCCCCCAGGAAATTCAGGAATTTTTCACTAGAAAATAACATAGATAAAATTACAGGTTGAAATTCTGATTTTATTTCAAAATGATAAATAAACCAAGGCATGGTTTTGACCAGGTATTATGTCTGCAGGGCTTGTGAAGTTAGAGAAACAGTCCAGTCAGACCCAGAATGACACCAACCACGCTTGTGACTGGCAGAGATAACCTCTTTGATCTTCAGGAATTTTTAAAAGTTCTCCAAGGCCGGGCCTGGTGGCTCAAGCCTGTAATCCCAGCACTTTGGGAGGCTGAGGCGGGTAAATCACGAGGTCAAGAGATCGAGACAATCCTAGTTGACATGGTGAAACCCCGTCTCTACTAAAAATACAGAAAATTAGCTGGGTATGGTGGTGCGTGCCTGTAATCCCAGCTACTCAGGAGGCTGAGGCAGGAGAATTGCCTGAACCCAGGAAGCGGAGGTTGCGGTGAGCCGAGATCGTGCCATTGTACTCCAGCCTGGGTAACAAGAGCGAAACTGCGTCTCAAAAAAAAAAAAGTTCTCCATCCTAATTTCTGAATATCATAAAAAGTAAAAAGTACTTTCTTTTTATTTTTCCTTTGAAAATGTTTTTAGTGGCAAACAGGACTACTAGTTTTCCTTACTTCATTTTTATAAGCATAGTAGTTACATGTCAATTTACTTAAAATTAGAGAGGGAAAACCCGAGAGACCTGAGTAGCACTGCTCATCCACTGAAGGCCCCCATAAACAGGTACTCATATTCATGTTATCATGTCTACAAATAGCAATAAAATGATGTCTGTAAATCGGAAGTACAGCAGTAGCAGTTCATATATATTTGATATGCTTTCACACAAGGATTCAGTAAACAATAAATATAATTTCCCCTCTTCAAAACAAAAAAGGGATTTATAGGGGAAAAGGGTTAATTTACTTGGGGTTTCTCAGCACACCATTTTTAATGTGCTTTAAAAGAATTGAAAACCATGAAACTGTATTCATTGAATACTGGTCCATAGTTACATTTTT